CCTGTGGAGTGTCGAACAGGCTCATATATCGGTGTAGGCTCTGGGTAACTACTTAGAGAAACTCCATGTGACATAAATATGATGACAATAATTACTCTAACTCATATTATTACAATAATATGAATTATACTCTCTCCCAAATCTCTGGTAGTCTGCAACACTACATCCAATCTGTTGGGGAACGAATGCAGCAGTTCCAAGCCAACCTTCATCTTGTCTATATGAGGAGGATGTCTGGGAGTCATAGCCAGATCCATAACCATATGTTGAGGATCCATATTCGTATCCTCGTGTCTCATATTCCGATCCATAATCATACGAGGAAATGTCATGTCCAAAACCATAACCACATGAAGACGACGAACCATAATTATGATATTCACTTCCACTTCCACTTATACTCATAGTAAAAAAACCATCATTAATCATATCAGCTTCATGCCTAATAGCACTCATACCATGTGGAGTGATCGAATTTTGAGTACGCTCACGTTGACGATCTCGAGTTGATTTTGAGCGTCATTCATATTGAAGCATTCGTCGAGAGCCATGATCTTCATCTTGTGTATCATGTATAAATCCTTCCTCTACAGTACATATAATTCTATGTGGACTTTGGCTCCCCGTACCTCCATCACCACCACATCCATCGCCTCCATGTCCATGACTATCACCACCTCTGCTGTCGTCATCTTCACTACCACTACCACCACTATCTTCATCATCATCTTCACCACCATCATCATTGCTATCATCACCATTATGATCATCCTCAGTACTACTACTGACAGTGATAGGTTGCTTACGTCTTAGTGAACCTCTCATTAGTCTGTCAAACTCTTCATCATCCATTGCTTTACTTGATCCTTCTCTACTTATTTTGGATCTTGATTTTCGTGGTGGCACAACACCTTGACTTAGGCTTACTCCTCCATCGTCATCTAAAAAACAATTTGCCCACGTTGCCAGAAAAGTGTTTGGTCTTGTTGGTTGCCCATCATCATCAAGTTCATCTAAAAGTGCATCATCAGGATCATCTAACCACTCCGAAATACCTTCATCTTCCTCAAAAACAGTGGTTAAGTCTATAGGTCTGAATTCATACCCTTTTTTGTCTTTCATAAGGTGTTTTAACTTCAACCTCATGTTATATTGTGCAAACACCAGTTTTTCTAACTTTTGATAATTGAGTCGATTTCGCACTTTAGTACGAATGAGAGCAAATGTGCTCCAATTTCTCTCACAACCACTAGATGAGGTTGTTTGCGACAATATTCTCATAACAATCTTTCTCAAATTTGGAGCATCAGTACCATACATAAACCACTATTCAGCTGCATAATAATAAGAAACATATTAAAACCTTAAAGAAAAATATAAATAAAAAATCATGAGAACAAAATATAAGTGTAAATAATCTACTTAATTACTTGGATCACTTTTTGTTCTTCCTCTAATTGCAACTTGGTTAGCAAAACAATACATGGCCTCCCAAAATATTTTTACCTAAATATTATGGATATGGTGATGTTATATATTAATTTGGCACATTTGTAAACTGAAATTGAAATACTAAAGTATTACCTCTGCAAGTGCTTCAACAACCTTGTTTGGATTGGTCTCTAATCTAGACACAACGATCAGAAGCGAACCCAACAAACTTTCTAGCACACCAACATCTTCTTCATAATGGTATGTAGGGTTCAAGTAATAAGCTACACAATATAAATAATAATAACACTTATAAATGATAACATCTAAAATGATAACACTTATCAATAATAAAAATAAAAATTGGTAAACAATAAGTTTACCTGTCATATGAATATGTTGAATGATTGTTTTTTCCATCGAGCATCAATGATGTCATGATATTTTTTGCACGATTTAGGAATCGCGTCTTTGACAGCTTGTTTTGCTCGTTTCATTGCTTCATATACATATGGCATTGTTGTTTTTCTTTCCTCATCCATCATTCTGAGAACTTTTGCAATAGGTGTATGCATATTCAACACATTTTTTGCGGTCTCCCAAAACTTAGGATTTAGAATTGTCCCTTGAACTCATTTTTCAACTGGATCATTTGTTGTCGCAGTCCTAGACCAATCTTCTAAAGTAAACATCCTTTGCAAGCCATTTTTTTGCTCCAAAATACTTTGTAGGACAATATAATTAGTGGCAAATCTTGTTTGCCCTGACCAAATCAATTCCCCCGTACAAAAATGTTCTCATTATATTCAAGACTCTATTATGATTATAGATAAAATTGGTCACTCTTTTAGCTTGCTCTAGCACATTTTGTACTGTTTCAATCTTGAAAAAATCATACAAAATCAAATCCAAAGAGTGGGCAGCACAAGGAGTCCAATATAAGTGCGATCTTCTTTCCATCAACATTTCACCAGCTTTTTTGTACACACTGCCATTATCTATAATAATCTGAACCATATATTTCTCTCCAATCTCCTCAACAACAGCATCCATCAACCCCAAAATATAGTTAGCATCCTTTTCATGGCCAAAACTATCAATGGACTTGTGGAAGATAACTTTTTCATCACAATATATTAAGAAGTTAATGATAGATAATCTTGTGGTGGATGTCCATCCATCACACATGATTGTCACTCCATAAATCTGTCACTTTTTTTTTAACCGGCCAATGTACTCTTTAAGCTCATCTATCTCATTATTTAGTAATGACCCGCCAATCTCATATGAGGTTGGCCCTTTCACACCTACTCCAACTAAAGCAATTTCATCAATCATCAATTGATAAAAATGACCTGGAGCTTTGCTTGGTGGAATATTTTCATAAATGAAAAATTTTGCAATAGCATGTTTTGCTGACTTTGCCCACTTTTTGGGATTCCACATGAGTTAGCTTGGCTTGCTTCACTTCCCTATTCCGATACATTGAAGGATCTATCTCTTATATTGGGAGATATTTTTCTTTGCCCATCAATTTTTGTGATTTTCATGAGAATTTATCTCAAGATTCCTTCACAATATGTGACCGCATTAAACCCCTAGATGAACCACCTTTTTGGATGGATGGTCTAAAACTTCCTCCTCTAAAGCCTAGCTCGGCCATATGTATATCGCGAATAGATTGTTGTTTTACATACTCAATATCAGCTCTATATTCTATATCCATATCATCTGAATTCTCATTGGAAGAATAAATTTCAATACCACTCCTCCGCCTTGATCCACCAATTAAATTCTGTCTCATTTTTCTCCGTTCATCAGTCACTTCTGCATTTTCAGTCTTGTTGCGACTCAAGTAATCCCTCATAACTCTCGCAATTTCAAGAGAACACTTATCACATTGTTCCAAATTTTTATAACTGCCTACCAAGTGTTGCTTTAACCGTGACACACCGCCACCCATCATTTTTTTATGACAAAAATTACATATCACATGTTGTCAATTATCCCCAATTCGTTCGCCGTAGTTCCATCCAACATCACGTTCTTTTTTCTTTTTCTGGGATTATTCAGTAACCACACTCTTCCCTTTTGATGTCATATCTACAATAAATGTCATTACATTATTAAACACATTATATTCATTCTACAAATTAAATATGACATATATAACACTTTTAAATTAAAATGTTATCCAATTAATAATACTATTTTATTATAATACTAATAATGAAAGGTATCAAATTAAATTAATGATACTTATGTATACTTAAAAATTAAATGTAATTGCAGTGGGTATTAAATGTAATTACAGTGGGTATTAAATATAATTACAGTAAGGTATTAAATGTAATTATTCATGCTTACAGTAGTGGGGAATTAAATGTACCAGTAGTGAGGTATTAAATGTAATTAGAGAGAGTATTAAATATAATTATAATGTGTATTAAATATAATTACAATGGGTATTAAATATAATTACAGTAAGTATTAAATGTAATTATTCATTATTATAACAAAAAAATTATAACAGGCAGAAGAACAGTGATAATTAAATGTAACTATATTGGCGTATTAAATTTAATTACCATGGGTATAATTATAATTGATGTGGGTATTAAATATAATTATAGTGGAGGTATTAAATGTAATTATTCATAGTTATAACAAATATATATATATATATAAAAGCTGAAGCCTTGCACAGTTCAACCACACGAACAAACCGACAGATAGAGAGAAGGGCGAGAGGCGACCTCAGGCGATCGCGATCGCGATGCCATCGCCGGAGAGAGAGAGAAAGAGAAGAAGAAGAAGAAAAAGGACATACCTGTGGACCGGTGGTTGCTCGTGGTCGCAGCGATGAAGACAAGACAACTACCAAGCCCTAAATCTGCGTGGATAATGGGTGGATCTGCTCAAATCTGGAGTCAAGGAGGTAAGTTACAGTAACTTCTTCAATTTCTGGTTCGTTGGTGCCTTTCTCTCCCTCATCTCTATTTTTTTTTTTTTGCTTAGGACTGTGAACGATTTCTGAGCAATCATGTGATTTCTGAGAAGGAATCTGCTTTCTGCCTTTTTCTTTTGACTTGGAGCTGCGAACGAATCTTTTTGACTAAGCCTCTCTCTTTTTCCTTTTGGCCTAGAGAGAACCGAATATATCACTGTATCACTGTTTCGTCGAAACAGTACTGTTCCGACCGAAACGGTCCGAAACAATGCCGTTTCAACCGAAATGGTCCGAAATAGTGTTCCGAAACAGTGCCGTTTCAACCGAAACACTGAAATTTTGTGTTTCAACCACTGTTTCGTGTCGTAGTGTTGAAATTCCGAAACGTTTCGGATGTTTCGGACGTGTCGACACGAAATTTAGATCCTTGACAGATAGTATTGTAATTCTCGTAATGTCACTTTAGTATAAATAAGAGAGCATAGGGCAACATAACTTATACACAAATTATTCTCATCTTTTCTCATTCTTTTCCTTTCTCTTTATCTTTTTCTCTGCTTCCCTCCTCCTTCTAACATAGTATTGTAGTTTTTACTTCTTAACTAAAAGAGTGTAAATATTATAAACCAAAAACTCCCAGGCCAATTTCAAATGAAAAAGTACCTTGCAATAATTTGGCAGTTTGTTTCTCTGAAAAGACACTTTGTGAGTTTGTGTCTCCTCCCACAGCAAAGAATGCACCAGCAGTTCTTTTTCCCATAGGAGAAGATTGGAAACCAAGTGAGCAAAAAACCTCAGGCCGCAGCTTGACATAGTATATGATTGAGCAAAGCGCTAGAGACAATATTGGAGATGCAAGTAGAAAATTTGGTAACTGCTTTAACTGGAAATATCTTAAAAAACCCACTCCCCTGACATAAAAGAAATTGCCAATACAAGTTTCAGAATATAAACAAATCAACTTATACTTTTTGTTTTGACAAGTTATAATAAAGAGGAAATGCATGATTTAAAGTCAAAACTGTAAATTCATTTGACTCAAAAGCTAGTTGAACTGTTATCCCTATTAAAAAGGATAACAAGAAGTAAACTAGATAACACCAATGCAAGTGTAGAATGCTAACCAACAAGACCCCACCCTCAACCCACCCACCCCAAAAAGGAGGGAGGGGGGAGGAGAAAGGAAAAAATCAAGAAAAATTATTATGGCTGATAGTGATACCACTTATAGGAATCACAAAGCACATTGATTATTGATTGTAAAAATTGATTCCCGTAAAACAATGAAATAAAGCCACTGAGTTTTTATTCATCGCAAATCAGAGTACACAAACTTCTACACTCTGAACACAATTTGAGACCTAAAAACACATGTAAAACAATTGTATATCTCTCCCAAAACAAAGTTTGATAATGCTAGTTTGCTAAGATAATTAACAGGGGGAAAAGTTGATGAACATACCAATAACGACTTTGAATGTAATTGTACAGTAAAGGAAGTCTTGCCTTGCACCAAGACCTTGATTCATCCGGAAAACCTCTCGCACAAATATTGTAGTATCCATAGGCTTGAAAAGCCATAAATGGAACAAAAAGGCATAGACAATGTAAAACTCCAGAAATTAGAAGCTGCACAGCCAACTGGCATAGATAAAACTGAATTAATAGAAATATTGTACACACCTAAAAGCTGAATTTTTAAGAGTTACACTCCGATATCCATGTTTTAGCATCCATAATTTGCTTCTACTAACAAAAAAGGTAAAAATCCATTTTGCCCCTCATGGTTTGGGTGTTTTGCACTTTACCCCCATACGGTTCAGAAATCAGCACATAAATTTCATCTGATTTTAGACTAAAATGCTACCATTAGTATTTCCATCCAAATTGACAAAAAGTGTGATACATGCACCAATTTCATGAGTTGGTGTCCCAAAATTTTATGTTACAGTCAAATTTGAATACAAAAGGACAAATATACCCATAGAAACTTTATGAAAACACAAAAATTGGTCTCTTCTTTTACAAAAGCATCACCAGCAGCTCTCCTCCCCCAACCAACACCTGCAGTTCCCCCTCCTTCCCCCACCCACCAGCAACTCCACCTTACTCCCTCCCCACCCTCCTTCGACCAAACCACAACCAATTTCCTCCTCCATGATTGCCTACAACCACACCAATCTTCACCCCCATGGCCGCTATCGAGCTATAGGTGCCACCATCACACACATACACAGCAAATACCAGCACACAAGCATACAAACACAGCTCCTAAATTCACATCGCTGCAGCACCGTAAGCCACCTCCTGAAGCCCCAAGCCACAAAATAGCACAACTATAGGGTGTGGTTCAATACCGACAGAGCTTCAACCATCATTTTTAAACAAATTCATGGTTTGAAGCTTGCTGTGAAATATGATACAGTAGAGTAACAACTGGACTTCAGCAATTTTTGATTAATTGGATGGAATTAGTGGGTCTCTCCAATTTGGTGATGATGACAGGTTTGTGATTGTGTGGGATTGGTTTAGCATCATGGATGGTCAGAATCCATGGTGATGTCGCGTGTTGTGATTGTTCATGTTAAGGCCAGTGCTGCAGCTGCTCAAATAACAAACTTCCAGCAGACCTATTCCACCTCATCATACCATATAGCTGATCCAAAGGATAGACAAATAGATCACATTGCACAGTAACAATGCTCCATTTATACAGAGGTGCAAGTGGTGCATCGCTGCCAGCTGTAATTCTGTTATAACCAAGATAGAATTCTGTTATTAGTGTTGGTTAGTCTCACTATATATATCCTGTAATAACAAAAATTTGAGGTGAGCTGATAAATAATATTTTCACTATAGTAATTTTATTCAATTCCACTTCTTTTTTCTTCTTCTTCCTCTGTAAATCAGATTCTATCGGTTCGTGTTGTACTATTGGTCATTTTTATAAAGGTAATGACTTGTTTGCAGTGGGTGGGAGTGGTTGGACAGTATGTGGCCAACGTGCATGGGTTGGGCACTAATATCTCCAAAAACAACTATAAGAGAATGAAGAGGAAGGTTAGGAGGCATTTAGTCATTTACCAATTCCATTAATGGAGTTAATTGTGCATATTAGTCCAAAGCTACATGGAGGTTATGTGCTGATTTCTGAACTACAGGGGAGGTGAAGTGCAAAACACTCAAACCACAAGGGGGTAAACTGGATTTTATCCCCAAAATATGAAGAAATGTCTGTCATTCACGAGTCATAAGCTTGTCATCACATATGCCAATTCTGTAAAATAAACTCAAAAGGTGTTACACTAAGACTGAATGAGATTCCATCATCCAGGCTTGAGAATTCACAAGGAGGAAGAGACAAGAGATGGATAAAGAAGATGAGTGCTGCTAAAGTGTTTACTATAAATTTATGGCCAACTTGAAACAATGAATAAAAGGCAATCTACAAAGATAGACGCAAAACAGCCAACTGCTCAGTCAAGAAGCAACACTTCCACAGCTGAAATAAAAATGTTGGAATTGACTTCGAGCAAAACAAGGGTTGAATGCAATCTTAAAAAAATGAAGGTGGTATCAACAAAAAAACAAGATGAAACAAGCAAAAAATGGTGTAGTTTCTGGAAAGTGCATTGGAGTAAAGACTACCAAAATGAATTGAAGTTAACTTAATGTGAAAGGATTCATATAAACAAATTAAGAGGAACAGACATGTTGCCAATGGTTTATAGAAACTATGGCACTATGTATAGAGGAACATGAAATAAGACTACTGTGGCAAACCCGACGAAGTACACTTGAGATAATTAATACTAAATAATTTAATTATCTTCGAATCGTTACAATACTTTTAGCTGATTAAGCAATTACGATGTAAACAATATCACTCTAATCACCTTGTTTTGACATACCTCCCATCATTTGGGAGATAAGGAAAAACCATAGTCAAATGAACCCAAACCCCGAAAATAGAAGAAACCCCAAACTTATGTATGTTTAATAATCATGTAAAGACAATGGCCCCACTGCTCTATATCTATCAGTTTCCCTCTTGTATGGTTGGAGTATGCAGTTGGCAACTGAAAAGGGGTTCTATTTATATTCATTTAACAGGAAGTTCAAACATGCTTATAGGAATAGTTATATTCATTTAACAACAAGAGCAAACATACTTACAGAGCCGACAAATGTCTTTATAAACATAATTTTCTTTTTATAAAGAGAAAAAACAATAAAAACGAGAACTCTTTGGCTTCTTGGCACTATGTTCCAGCAAATATTTATTCCCTACTCTCTGTCTCTCTCTCTAATGATTATGTTCTAGCCTTCCCATAAATTCAACTATAAACAATAAATTCTGCTCATGAATGACGAAACAATCATACTTTTAAGACATGGGTAATCAATTAATTCAAAGATACTTATATATATGTTCTCGTCTAAGAAGCACATACACTTTTAAGAAGTCGTGTCCAAGTTGGACAAAAATCAGGCTCTAATGCTTCTCGAATACTCTAGACATTTAATAACACACTTCAACATGCCTAAAATTTAAAATAAAGTTTACATTGCAATATAGCTCTATTCTAGTACAGTAAAAAAAGGAGCAAGTAAAATTAAGTTAACATAAGTCTATACAAAAGTTGACCATACAAATAAAGGAAGGTAGAAGAAGACTTTTCAGAAAAAGTGGAGGTGGGAGAAAGAAAGTGATGCATCAAGATTAAGCATACACACAAATACCTATGCATGTATATTATATGTGTCATGTTAGTATCCAAGTTTCAAAAATTTTAAAATGACAATGCCTCCAAAAAATTACATATGTTTGTTACATTTAAATGCAGAGGTGAGATATTATCCAGCAAAAAAGATTTTTAGCAAATGAAAGAGAGACCACGCATGTGCTCAGGCGCTCGTGAGAGAGATTTTGATAGTAGGGTCAACGCATTACAAGGTTGTATCATAGCTACCACCAGTGTTTTAAAAAGCGCGCCTAGGCGAGAAGCGAGGCGAAGCGAAGGGATCTCGCCTGGAAGATCACAGGCGAAGCGAACGTGAGTGAAGCGAGAAAAAAACGATCGCTTTTCGCTTAAGTGAGAAGCGAAAAAGCGAACGCTTGAGTCATTAGAGGCGAAGTTGTTTTATTTTTATTATGGACCGTTGGATTGGACAATTGAAAAAAAAATTATAAGATGTTGATACACTGAATTATCCCCTTATCCCATAAATACAATCCCAAACCTTAATTTTATTTCTCAAATTACACGATCGCTGGACCAGAAGACAGAACACAGAGAAAATAGAACACAGAGATCGCTGCTCCTACTCGATCGACAGCGTCGTTGCTCCTCTCGATGGACTGGACAGAGACGATCGCTGGAGGCTGGACAGATCTCGCTGATCGTTGTTCCTTCCTTCCTCACACGATCGACAAAGTCGCTGCTCCTCTCGGTGGACTGGACAGAGTCGCTGCTCCTTCCTTCCTCATTGATCTTGCTGATCGTTGCTCCTTCTAGACAGAGACTCGATCGTTGCAGGTTAGTCTTCTCTTTTTCTCTCTCTCTCTTTTCTCTCTTTCTATTTCTTTTCTTCTTCTCTCTTCTAGTTCTGGTTCTGGGTTGTTTTTTTTTTTTTTTTTTCTGGTTCTGTTTTTTTTTCCAGATTCTGATTCTACTCCTTTTTTTTCTAATTGTGCTGCTGTTTTACTGTCCTCTTTTGTTTGTTGTTCTGAATCTGATAGTGTTATTCTATTTTCCTATTGTGCTGCTGTTTTGTTGTTCTGTTTTGCTATCCTAAAATGTGATTCAGTACGTATATAAGCCAACGAATGTACATAAAAATATTTAGTATATATAAAATTAGAACTTGATGTTTAGAAATAATTAAACTAAAATATTTATTATTTTTTTTAACTCTTCGCTTCGCTTCGGTAAAGCATATCGTTTCGCTCCTCGCTTCTCACTTAGGCGATAAGAGCCTTGGTCGCTTCGATTCGCTTTACGCCTTAAATAACACTGGCTACCACCACATGTAAATGCAGGATAGGTTCCATATTAAGAGGTGTGACCTAAGGAAGGTGGACTGTGGTAACTCAATATCCAAGAGGCCAAAGCTCCTAAGGCCGGGATCAAGATTGATGACGTGAGAGTTTCAAGTCCACATAGCTTGTTTCACATCACTCAAGGGAGGGGGGCCGTGCTTCCGAGAGAGAGTGAGAGAGAGTACAATATTTTGACAGTGGATTCAGCAATTTACAAGGATGTATCACAGCTAGCATCACATGTAAATGCGGGATAGGTCTCAAATGAAGACGTGTACACCAAGGGAGGTGGATTCTGGTAACTCAATATCCAAGAGGCCAAAGCTGCAAAGGTTTGGGTCAAGATGGATGAGGTGAGAGTTTCACGTGCACATGGCTCGTCTCACATTGCTTGGTGAAGTGTATGTGAGGTTCTTTATAAATGTGAGTTTTAGATCTTCATTGTTTGTGTTAATCTAGTCTAAACTTAAAGAGAACAATTTGGAAAAATGCGGGCTCCGGGCATTACAATTACTATCAGAATAGACTCTCCCTCGTGGTGGTGGAACAGGTCCTACGCAAGGATCTATGGCCCAAGGGCTGGACTGTGATAGCCGAGGACCAAGATGGATGATGTGAAATGAGATTGAGGTGCCAAATCCATGTAAAGGTTGTCAGCCTATTCCGGCCATCACAATGACGTAACCATAAAATGATCAAAATAGTGAGCCTACAGGCAAAGCAGAACATATCTTGATGGTGTGTCTTACTTTTCTAGAAAGTCAAGAACAACGGAATCTATTAAATCTAATTAAAGACACTTTGCAAAATTTAATTTATTAAAATATAGATTAATATTAATAGAATATTGCAATGATTGTACCAGAGGAAAGAAGGCAGGTGCATTGGAGACATCAACACTTCTCTGACTTTAACTAAGATAGTTTCTCATCAAAGGAACAATGTCAATAACAAAAACTAGACTATGCAATAAAATATTACCAGAAAACTTACATAAGCATGCTTTCTAACAAAGAAAGCGTCATAAGCTTGATGCATAGTTTGAAAACAAATATAGCCTGCATTAAGCACCCCATTTGACCTTGCAGACCCAGAGAGAGCAAGCCAAAGTGTTGCAAAATTACAGGTGCCAGACATAAGATGATATAACCCTCCAATAGATAATAGGGCATACAAATTCTCAGAGTATCTGCAAAGAACAAAGGCAAGCAGGTACTCAATCTAATAATCCTCTAAGTTCTAATGCGAAACAAAAGGAGGGACCTATGAAGAATACATTGACGAGTAGAATATGGATGCAGGATTAAAGCAAAACAGAATTGATGCTCTCAAGGCTGCCTCTGGGTCCTTCAAAATAATAATTGAAAGCCTGTTAGAGAGAGAGAAACAAATGACAATCAGAAGTTCAAATTATATATCTGCATTCGCATATTGAAAACATATGTACATATGTCCACAACAATAGAGTGTTATGCATTCTGGTAAAACAAATCGCCACAATGCAAATATATTTATTCATGATGCTATTGCAGCTAATTATTATTCTTAGCCCAAAGGAAACCACTGTGAAACAGAATCTACTGCAATTGGACAGAATATGCTTGGAGAGGTACCTAGCAGGAAAAAATATTATTTTAGTGATTTATGAAACTATCCCTTAGTTATAAATCGTAAGTACCAACTAAACCAACCATATCGGAAAATCTAGAGGGGGAGCATTGTATTGGTAAGCCCCACCAACATTAGAGTCGGTCCAAGATACTATAAACATGACAAGAAATTAAATAAGATAACATGAAAGTTGAGGTATTTAGTTTCCATCTAGGAAGCACGGATACTCCTCGTGGGATCGACATGGCGGTGTCGGACACATGTCCGACACGAATACACGTGGGACACATGTCTGACACTTCCACAAGTGTCCAACGAACAAGTTTTTTCTATAGACGGATTCGGCTCAGATATGGGGTGACATGGGCGGGATATGGCAACAGCGACAAATGAGTTGAAAACAAAAAAAAAGGGGGGGAAGAAGATAATACAGAGTTATAGACCTGAGATCACCCACAAATCTTTTTCTCTTCGACCAGGTTCTTCTCCTACTTCTTCTTTGCTCCAACAAAATTTGATGCTGTGTGCCGATTGGTGTGAGTTGGCTTGCCCTACTTGCTCTTCAACAACGTCCTTTTTCCCCCCCCCTCTCTCCAAGTTGTTTCGTTGTGGTGGTGTCTGCAGTTACCAAATAACCCTTGGACTTTTTATATTTTATGCTAAATTACAATCACACCTTATTAGTTGTCACCCATTAGCCAATTTGATTTAGTTCGCCCATAACACATTAACCCACTAATCAAATTTAATATTAACTCATTTGTCTAATTATAAAATATTAATTAATTGTTCAATTGTTCAATTTTACTATTAATATTATTGTATATATAAAAATATATTATATTATTTTAATAAGCCGTATTCTCATCGTACCAGTGTCTTATATTTTAGATTTTTTTGTATCCCATGTCCGTATTGTATCGGATACGACACCGTGTCCATATCCGTGCTTCCAAGATGTCCATACGTGGTATGGAGACATTGCCTAGTACTGATAAAATGCTTACACTAAGTAACACAAGATGAGGTTCAAATCTGATGGTAGTTCGTTCATGCAACTAACGTAAGATTATATATGTACCCAGTCCACCCCTCTAACACACTTCCTTAACAGAGACCAAGTGGATAATGGACTTTTTTCCAATCTTTAAGGTGAAATATCTATGTAGAAACTCAACTGGCTCTCTTGTATTCATCCAAGTCTATCGTTAACACCTCCCATCAATATTTTGCTGAAATATGTCTATTTTACTCACTGAATTAATGGAAATGGGCTTCTAAAACACCGGAAGCAGAAGAATTCCCACAAAGCTCCCTTTAATTGAGTAACTTCTCATCAATCACATTCATACGTAAATACATTCGTACAATTTTAAACAATGTCATATAGTAGATAGACATGTATTACAAAGAAACTCACCTGTACAGATAAAGTGCAGCGAAAACAAACGCAATGTTATTCAGTACATAGCCGGATAAGCCCAACACAGCTCTTTGTCCAATAAGCGGAACCAATGGCACAAAAACTGCAAAATAACAAATTTCGTACAAATTTCCCAAATCAAAAACAAAATTCCTGAAATGAATACCGAAATGACCAACCTGTTCGTGACAGTAACGAAATGCAGAGAGGCAAAAGAGGCAAGAACGCGTAGGACTGTTCGTATTCGTATCCGCATTGGGCGATGCGGACGAAGTACACGCTGTCCCATACGATGCTGTTTTCGATTGCAGAGGAAATCCGAGGGAAGGCAACTGGGGGTGGTGAAGAATTGGTTGAGTTAGTGGAGAGGCAATTAGGGTTTATGGAAGCGGAGGTGTCGTATGGGGTTAACAGAGAGCGCCAGAGGATGAATAGGTTTATGAGGAGGAGTCTCGACGCGATTGCGGAGCGAAGAACGGTGCGACTGTGGTGGGTTTGGATTGGGGTTTCATCCGAAGTCATTGATTTCGCGGAGAGAGAGAAAAGAAGGAAGTAGAAATTGTTATATGCAACACCACTCAAGCTGGTGGGACATAATTTAGAAACTTATGTAATTGTAATTTGGATTAATAATGAAATATGTTTAATGTTGAGACTATCCTTTCAATCCGGTGACTACAATTTATTTTTCAAATTTTGTCCCAGTATGATTGCACTAATTGCAAATAATTAGTTATTCTTACCTTATAAATCTCTATTTATACCCCTATTAAATTATATTATAAAAATATTAATTTTTTATTTTATACATACTCCACTAATAACTAAGTTTATTTCATTACTCGTCCAACTAATGAATAAATTCATCTCAATATTTCCATTTATGATTTCTTTTCATACTAGATCTTACAAATCTATACAAAAATATATTCAACTTGATTATTTAGTATAGATTTCTCAAGTGATATTTAAGTTGGTATTGATTCCAAATTTATTTTATGTTGTTGTAAGTATTTTTTTTATATATATATATATATATATATATATATATATATATACTTAACTTGCTACTTATTTTTTGAAGAGAATTTCAGATGTAAGAATTAGAATATATAAAGTATTTAGGTGAAGGTTTATCCGATTTTTCTTTTTTTTGGTTAACATTCAAACATTTTTTTTTGTATATTTTATTTGGAATTTAGTTGGTTTCCTGACATATCAAGATGTAATTAAGAATAACTTTTTTACGACTTTTGTATTTTAGTTAAATATTATACAATGTGAGTTTCTTTATTAATAGGGTGGACTTAGTGGTATAAATATAGCAGGGATTGGCTTAATAATTTTATAATTGGAATAATAGGATGGGAAAAAATATTTATGGGGTAAAAATAGTCTCGCCCATCTACAAAATGCTCCCAATTTTGCTATTGGAATTATGACATTTTTTACCCTTAAATGGTTTAAAATTTTGAATTTGTACTTCTAAAGATTAAGATTGCAACATGTTAGACATATATTTGTGATTGGCTAATTTCGTGGAATTTTCATGCGATTCTCAACCAAGGAAAGAATTGGAGAAGTACGTGAAGATCAGGTAACAACTCGTGAGTGTTACGTATCCTCTATGAAGGGAAAACAAAAATAGGAGACTTTGCAGGTCGATTCCCTTGACTACAAGGAAGAATTGGAGCACCAACAACCAGTAGAGGAACTAGAGGGTATCCAAATTGGGATAGCCCCAAGCAAATCACCTTCATCGGGAGAATGCCTGAAGAGAGCTTGAGGACTTTGCTAATAGAGTTCTTAAATTCTAATAAGAATGGCTTTCCTTGAAAATAGTCTGATATGGGGGGAATAGACCCTACTATAGCTGTGCACAAACTGAATTTCAACCCAAGTTTAGACCAGTTCGATAGAAACACTGAAGTTTCACCCCCGAGCATAATCGTGCAATTAAAGAAGAGGTAGCAAAGTTCCTAGATGAGAAGTCTGTGAGGGAGGTGCATACTCGTTCTGGTTAGCTAATGTTGTGTTAACAAAAAAGACGAATGATAAATGACAACTTTGTGTATATTTTACTGATTTGAACAAGGCATACCCAAAGGATTGACATTATGGATGATGTCACTACTGGTTATGAGATACTCTCCTTCATGGATGCATGATCTAGATACAATCAAATCATGATGTATGAACCGGACTAAGAAAAAACTTCTTTCATAATAGAGAAAGGAACCTACTATTATCAGGTTATGTCATTTAGTTTAAAAAAAAGCACGAGCCACCTACTAGAGGCTAGTTAATCACATGTTCAGGGAGCTTATTGACAACTCAATTGAGGTGTATGTGGACGACATGCTTGTCAAAAGGTTTTGTGGCACTGAGCACGTTGATCACTTGAAGAAGGCCTTCAATACGCTCAGGAGATACAACATAAAGCTCAATCCAGCTAAGTGTGCCTTCGGAGTGTCCTCATGGAAGTTCCTGAGGTGACCCAAAGACAAATAGAGGCAAACCAAAAAAAATCAAGGGACTCCTAGATATGAAGTCCCCACAGAATACCAAAGGTGCTTACAAGAAGGGTTGTAGCTTTGAATAGATTCATCTCCCAGGCCATTTTTAAATTACTCAAGAAGGCTTTGAATGGAGCTCGAAGTGTGAGGATGCTTTCCAAGCAATAAAACATTACATCAACAAACCACCAATCCTCATAAGACCTAAGGAAAGAAAAACTTAGTAGTATCTCAAAAGGCGACAAGTGCGATGCTTGTTAGCCTATGTGAGAAGGTCCAACACCCTATCTACTATATAAGTCAATCTTTGAAAGGAGCATAAGTTAGATACCCAACAATGGAAAAGGTTGCCCTCACATTAGTAACCACATCCAGGAAGTTGAGGCCTTATTTTCAGGCCCATCCCATCATATTGCTAATAGATATCCCATCATATGTTCTGCCAATTCGCAAAATGGTATATTGAGCTCGGAGAATTTGACACCCAGTACGTGCCTTGAACAACTGCAAAGGGATAGGTAATTTCTGACCTCATAGTAGAGTTTATCGTTAAAGCGTCGAAGCTTGTTGACATTGCCATTTAGCCAAGAGAATGGCAAATGTATGTTGATGGATCTTCCAATTTAACTATAGGAGGAGTCGAATTGATTCTCATCTCCACAAATCGAAGACAAGATTGGGTATGCCTCATGTTTTGGGTTCAAAACCTTGAATAATAAGGCAGAATATGAAGCTCTCATTGCTGGGTTACAATTGGCTAAGGCCTTAGGAGTAAAAAACTTGAGGATGTATAGTGACTCACAACTCGTGATAAGACAACACAATGCGATTATGAAGCTAAAGATCCACGAATGAGCTCCTACATGAAGATAACAACATAAAAAATTACTCACTTTGAGCATTTTGAAATCTCCCAAGTCACACGATTGCAGAACTCCCATGCGAATTCATTAGCACGGTTGGCTTCATCACTCTCCGGTAACTTGACCAGGACTATATCTGTTGAATTCCTACTAGAAGCAAGCACTTGCTGCACCAATGTCCATCAAATTTAGCCAGAACTAAGATGGATGGATGAGATAATGGCATACCTACTAAATGAAATACTCCCCTAGGAGGTCTATAAATCTCAGAAACTACGAAGAAAGGCCTTGAGATACGTAGTTTTGAACCAATTGCTCTATAAAAGAGGTTATGTGCTCTATAAAAGAGGTTATTCACTTCTATACTTGAGGGTGCTTAATGATTAGTGCTTAAAATTAGCATTTTACTATACTTTTTTGGGACTAATTGTACTTTGATGGAGTTTAAGTAATGACATTTCAGGTCATAAAGTGAACAAAGGCTCAAGAACAACAAATATCACACTTGAGTGTAACACCAATGCATTAGGGAACAAATTGGAGAAGATTGGAACAAAGCAACCACGTTCGAACGCCAACTCACGTTTGAACGTCCACTTGAACTCTGAGAAGACCAGACTATTGAGACATGACATATTGCAATCAAGAAGGAAGATCCTGAAAGTACTTGAGCACCACATTTGAACGCCAACTCACGTTCGAACGTCCACTTGATTTGATTGAAGACCAAAGCGATGAGTGCAAAGAGCCAAGACGTACATGAAGTGTGGAAATGGAGTTCCACAGAAGACCACAGACCATTTGAGTGATATGGTCAAACCCCATCTGGCGTTCGAATGCCCCTAAAGCAAAGACAGAATCCATGTTCGAATGTCCATAAAGCCAAAAATAGAAACAACGTTCGAATGTCAACTCACGTTCGAATGTTCTCCACAGACTGCCTGTAGAGTAGTTGGTTTTCCCTTAGACTTGGGCGGCATACACTATTCATTCATCCTCTCTTATCTTCCCTCCTCCCTTTCTTTGCCTATAAATACTCCCATTAGGGTAGCTTGAGGGGTGAAATTTTTCTCTTGTAAAATAAGGAGCTAAGATTGGTTAGTAGACCTAGACTACACCAAGAACTAGTAAGGAGTTTGTATGGAGGCTTAGACTCCTACTTATTTTAATTAATCTTAGATTTATGTTATATTTAGTTGTATCAACAGAGTTAGTTAATTTCTTGGTTGAGGAAGCAACCCTCCACTTGTTGGTTAAGGAAGCCACCCTCCAAGTATTGACTTGCTTTCTCCTACTTTCATTGTTTATGTCTTTCACTTCCATTGCTTAAGCTTCCTTTTTCCTTAGAGGAGTGAAACTCTTCCACTTTTCTAGAGCTTTACCAAAGCCGTGAAGGGTGGAACGTGATTCACTTATTCTTTGGTGAAGATCAGCTCTTCGCTTATTGTACTTCACCTTGTAAGTTCTCTACTTGGAGGGATGTGTATCACTCACTTTTCTAGTTTTACCCAAGCCATGAAGAGTGAGTAGTTCCTCATTCACTCTTTAGTAAGATGTGATGAATATGTATGAATTATCCAGAAGTTATACTTGTGCATTTCTTTTATGCTTTAATGCTTTATATTTCATTTCCTCATTGAATGAATGAATGTATCTAGCAAAGCTAAGGTACTTTGTATAACCGTGAGATATTTCTATGTCATGGATGACTCTTGCATAGAAAGACTTGTTGGTTCAAGGCAAGTACCCTGACTAGATCTTCATGACAATATTTCAATCTTCACCATTATTGTGCTTTATCTAAAGAATGGAACATTAATGCCATGGTTGGATGCCTTTGTAGAAACACTTGCTTGTTTGTAGACTGATTGAGTCTCGGCACAGACAATCTTGTAAACTTCTAAAAAGACATTGGAATCATGTGCTTAATCCTCACAATCTATTTTTTTTTCCGATTAACTTGTTGTTGACATGGAGTTAATTGAGTTATAAAGCATAAGTATAATAAATCGGATGATTCACTACATGTTCTGATCCTCGAGCTAAAGGGTGACTGTTCACATTTGAATTTATTTTATATTTTGTCTAGAAAACTCTTGGAAAGAATCTTATATTCTATTCAGGAAATCTCATCACATCAAAT